TTCAGTATGATTTAGTCTGTAACTTTTAAGTATTGATTCTTCAAGCATACCAACTAGTTAGTCGGTACCATGAATGTATCATTCAATACGATTGTGATCAATCAATACTAATGTTCATCTTAAAAGCTAGAGTCAATTTACATGTATGACAGGATTGTGTGAATAAAGTATTTTTAATATTGTGTGATTAGAATAGGTGGATACAAGTTATCAAATATTGATAAATTATTTAATCTTATCCTACTTGAGAGTTTTAAATAGAATGGGTATAAATACAGTCCTCTGAATTGGGAAATTAATCAAGTAATAAAAAAATTCCTAGTGACCTACTTGTTGGCAAAAAAATAAAACTCTAAATATCCATTGTTTGTTTTGTATATATATTTTTCCTAAGTTGATTGTACTATATATCACTCTCTACTTTGTTTTATATAAGCTTTCAATATGGTATGTATTTGGAAGAATTATTATAGTTTACATAGCTAAATTAAACATGATAATTCCATGTAAAATCTAATGGGAATCAGAATGAAATTGTATTCTGTAATTAGCAACAGGTTGATTTATGATGTTTTGGTCCATTTGGTTGCAAGTTTTATTTTTTCTGAAGATGATACAGTTTCGTCTAGAATTAACTGTTGTTAGGTGATACACGTTTTTTGGTATAAAGGAGCACTCGGTGTAGCATTGTTTTGTTTATGTAACTTTAAGTTGATGGAGTTGCTTTTGATATTGCTGTGTGAACTTGAACAAAAAAAATGTATTTTCCTGTTATAGTATGTAGGGTAAGGAAAAAAAAACGGGTCAATTTGTTTTGGTGAAATTTATAGGCCTATAGTAATATTCTTATATTACTATTAAACTAGGTATGCTCATCTCTAACTTAGCAATGATAATTTGTTACAGAGTTTTGTATAAGAGTAATGGTAATTAGTGATTGGACTGTGTATTTTATCATTCGTTTACTTCAACTACTTTTACATGTGTTTAAAAGAATATGTCATGTGGCTGATTAATGAAAGAGCTAAACAATATTATTTTTCACTCTATGCATTTCAAACCTTATTTTTTTATTAAAATGAATATCTTCTGAATGTTTAAAAAATTCCAAACTATAGGTATTTTGTCAAGGTGTCCTGATATTATTATTTTTTCTTTAAATTGTTGTGTCTTGTTAATATTACCTTCGTTATCCTGATATCCAGACTTTATTTTTTACTTTTTTATTATTCATGGTAGATAACTTTTTCCCCTGTACTTTCTTTGCAACCAATGATTGTTGCCATATTATTTTTTTTAATATCAAAATCTTTATTTCATTTTAAGTCTGAAGATGTCCTTATTTTAAGTTAGAAAGTTTTGATTGTTAGAATCAAAATTTATTTACTGTTTAATTCCTGCACTTTCTCTCATTGTTTAATTGGTAG